GCCGCGAGGCTTTAAATACGAAAGTGGGCCGTGAGCCCCCGCGTGGTGCCGCGGTGCCCCCTCATTATGCATGCATGGAAAAGCAAACAAACAAAAACATTAGCAACGCTCCTTCGGCTCTGGGGCTCCGGCCCCGCGCGCCGCGAGCCTGCCCGCTTTCTCCTTTCTGCGCTCTCCTGCGCCTTCGCTCGGCCCCCAGCCCGTCTTTTCGAGCTACTATTGGTCCCGCCTGTTGTTGTTGAAACTTTTTTTCCCCCCGAGCCGCTGGAGTGAGGTTGCGGGGTGGGGGAGGGCGGGCCGGGCGCCGGGCAGCTCACAGTCGGCATTCAGGGCTCGGGAGGCACGGCTGACGGAGTCTGACGGGGGCCGCGGGCTCCTCCCACTCTTAAGGAGGCGCCGCGGGAGCGCCCCAGCCTGCGCCCGCACCCAACTGGCCGGCCGGGGAGGCGGCTGTTCGCGTCCGGCCCAGCCACGAGCCGGTTCATTTGGTTCTTTTGCTTCCAGTCCCCCCTACCCCCAGCCCCCGCGCTCCGCTTTTGGCGTTTTTAGAGATTCTCCTGGCCCTCGTTGGTGTCTTGGACTTAGCTTCTCTGGCTTCCCGTGAGTGGAGAAGAGGAACCCGATCATCCGAAAGATCGACCAGTGCCCCAGAAAGAAGCCCCCAATGTGCCGCTGCGACGTGGGCACTTAGTGCGAACGCGGGGCCTCGTGGGGCGGCGAAGGGCTCCGGCGCACCCTGGCCGCTGTCCCTCAGGCGCTGGCAGGGGCCCCGAGCAGCCTGCTGCCCTGAGGGCTGGAGGCTCCCCGGTCCCCAGCCCCCGCTCCCGGATCTGGCAGGAAGGGCCCTTGGGCATCGTTTTCCACTGCTGGACAGGAATCCCCTCCACGGAGTCCGTGGCTTAGTAATATAAATTACTAACACGGCATGGTGATGAAAAAGAATCGTTTTTAACAGAACTCCAGGGTTCTGGAGCAGTAGCGTCTGGTTGTAGTCAGGACACGGAAGAGAGAGATCAATGGGCAGGCACTAAGGTTTATTACGGTAACGGGTACGTTTCAGTGCCCACGCCCTTCGAACTGCTGGCCTTGACCCGAGGAGAAGTCGGGGACTGAAGCCCCGGGACCCCGACGCCAGAGTGGGCGAGCTACCTTAACCTTGGCGCGCGCTGCGTCCGGCCGGCTGAGGCTTCGGGGGTCGGCTGCCTGTCAAAAAGTGGAGCCTGCCCCCCGCCCTGCCGTTCCGTGGAGGGACTCTCAACTCCATCTGTCACAGAAATTCAGGCTAACTCCTCTCCAGAAGCAGAGGGAGCTGGGAGCACATTTCAGCTCGCCTGCTTCTTCTCAGATGCAAAGCGGGGTCCATCTAGCCAGAGCCTCTTCTGTCGTAGACCCTCTGGGCTGCAGAAAGGGCCCTCGTTTGTGCTCCGGCAACTGCTTTCCTCAGATGCACAGGGTCTGCCTTCAGGAGCGGTACCTCAGCCGTCCTAACAAAACAAACACTAAACAAACTGGGAAGGGGTGTGGGCCAGACCGACCGTCTTGCTCTAAGTGGTAGAAATCCCACTGATACACTATCACAGCAATAGAAGACTCTATTTAAAGAAGCAATAATAGCAAGGCTCCATCTTTGTGGCACATCTAAGCAACCATTTTCCTATTGTGTTTTTCACTATGGTTGTTCAGTGGTACAGTGATGAGTCCTAGACTGCTAACCGAATGACTGGCAGTGGGAACCCAGCCAGTGCTCAGAGGAAGTGGGTCTTGGCAAACTGTTTCCATTGAGATTCAAGCCACGGAATCTCCTCAGGGCAGTTCCTCTGGGTTACACAGGGCTCTGTTAGTTGGAATCAGCTGGAGGGTACGCTATGGTTTGATTTGCAGTCAGTCATAGGGATGGTACAAAACGGCAGTGTTAACATCCCATGGGGGATGGGGCTGCCATAAGTCAGAGGCCAATGGCTAATATCAACAGACCTCCAAACCAGTCTTCATCATCAAGGCAGCCATCCCCATAGGACTCTGCACATCTCTTAAGCAGGCTTCATTTCTAACATGACCCTACCCCTCCTTTCCACTGGAGCAACTGTTCCAATCTGTTCCTAGCAAATGCCTGTACCTTAGGCCTCCTTTCTGAGTTGGATCTTCACTAACACCTAGCTGATCTCTATAGCCCACATTCCATCAGACTTTGAAATGGGATCTGGGTCTATAAGCCTTTGTTCTTGTTCCATTCCTACCTCTTTGCACCTTGGAAATATCTCGCTTCCTTGACCTCTTAGCTACCAGCTTTTCTGATAGTCACCAGTTGATTTCCAGTCTTCCATCTACAGCATTCTCATTTCAGCTTGCTCATCGGATTCACCAAAAACATTAGTCTATGTTCTCAATTCTCCCAAATCTGGTACGTAGCAGGTCACATTCTATACACCCAGGGAAGGAGTTCATTGGTACATACACAGGATGCTTCATTAGTCAGAGTTTGATTAGAGAAAATCTTTTATAATCCCCCCGAATGAAGAGCTCCATGTAAAGACACATGACCATCACAGCTGTGGGAGCTGGTAGAGCTGATTATGTAGTCTGTTGCTTCTGTCTCTGGTGCTGATCCTGATTTCTATGCCAGAAAGCTCAGCAGTTACCAGAAATCCCATGTAGATACAACCAAGGACAAACTGGTGTCTGTGGGACAACCGGAACCTTCAAGGGTAAATTGAGATCAATATCTGCCTAATTCCACCAAAAATAAAACAAGTCTTCCTATGCCCCACTTCGGCCCTCAATGCCATGGACCCAAGGAGAATCGGAAGCACTTGCTATCGAGAGAGCATGCACTTTGGATTGAGGAACTGCCTCATACCATCCAAGGTGACCACAGTTGCAAGTTGCCTTAGCACTTGGAGTCTGCATCTCTCCTGAGAGTAAAAGTATGGTCTCTGCTTCATCTCCAACTTCGGAGTCACGTGAAATTTTGCCTTGTAACCAACATTAACAGGGAAGAATAGAGGGAAAGGAATTCGGGGAAACATTGTTCTGGCTTAGCTAAATTGACATTGTAGAGTCACCATATTGTCTTTAGAACAGCGGTTCTCAACCTGTGGGTCGTGACCCCTTTGGGGATCAAACAACCCTTTCACAGGGTTTTCCAGATCCATAACAGTAGCAAAATGACAGTGATGAAATAGCAACGAAAATAATTTTATGGTTGGGGCAGGGTCACCACAACATGAACTGTATTAAAGGGTTGTGGCATTAGGAACGTTGAGAACCACTACTTTAGAATATCTGTGCTTTGTTTTTTCTGACATTCATTTCTTCACAATCTTAGCATCCAGATGACTTGCCATTTTCCTGTTCAGATTACTGTTGTGGATAAATTGATCCATCATCATCCTGGTCTATTGGCCTTTGGCTTTCTTTGAATAATCTTTCCCACCAGCTCCCTATGCCACACCCTTGCAGTTTATCCTAGACCTTGGCATTACCGATCACAAAGCTCTCTAGCTTACAAGTCATTAATTCAAAACCCCAGGCACTGACCAATGTTTCTCTTCTTTCCAGCTCACCTGTTCTAAACTCCATCATCTCTTCCCTACTCAAGACTGTTTCTGCATTGCCTCCTCCCTTGGGTGCCACACATTGTGTCCTTTCTGTCAGCCAATGACATAGCAACAAGGCCAGCGACAGGCGGGCTGGGTGGTGTCGGTTCTATGGTGCACAGGATCACTGTGAGTCAGAATCGATTTGTTAACATCTAGCAGCAGCAAAAACACAATAGACTGCTCCAAACTGTAATTGTTCCAAACGAAAGAATACCCTTTTCTATGTGCAATTCTCCACTCTGTAACAATGTTGTTGCTATGAAAACTCATTGTAAAAGTTGCATTGACTGGCGTTTTCCCACTCAAGATCGCTAATGATGCAAACTTTCTCTTCCCAACGGTCACTTCTCATTCCTCATCTTATTTTATCTTCCAGCAGTATTCGCCATGGCACATCATGCCCTTCTTTTCAAAGTACTGCTGGGAAGCCACACCCTCCTTTGTTCCATATACTTACTGACTACTCTGTTCCTTGTCCAAACACACTTTTAGGTGATCTCATCTAGATCTCGACTTTAAGGCCTCATTTTTTATTTCCATCCCAACCTTCTTCTGATTTTCATATATATTTGTGAATATTGTAAAGGACATCTTAAGCTACATCTGCATTCAAAGAATTTCTGATATCCTATCACCAAAACCTGTTTATTTTCTCTTCTTTTTGTAGTAGATATTCTCCGAAATTGTTGTTGGTAGGTGCCATCAAGTCAGTTCTGGCCCATAGTGAGTCGAGGCACAACAGAACAGAACACTGCCCAGTCCTGTAACATCCTCACAATTGTTCATACACCTGAGCCCATTGTTGCAGCCACTGTATTCATCTCATTGAGGATCTTCCTCATTTTCACCACCCCTCTACCAAACATGATGTTCTTCTCTAGGGACTGGTCCCTCCTGACAGTATGTCCAACATATGTAAGACAATCTTACCATCCTTGCCTCTAAGGGGCACTCTGGCCATACTTCATCCTCAACAGAATGGTTAGTCTTTGTAGTAGTCTATAGTTCTTTCAATATTCTTCACCAGCACCATAAATCAAATACATTGATTCTTATTTAGTCTTCTTTATTCCATGTCCAACTTTCACATGCATATCAGGCAATTGAAAATAGCATGCCTTGGTTCAGACACACTTTAGTCCTCAAAGCAACATCCTTACTTTGCAATACTCTAGAGATCTTGGCAGCACCTAATACAATGTGTCTTTTGATATCTGACTGCTGCTTCCATGAGCATTGATTGTGGATCCAAGTAAGACAAAATCCTGGGCAACTTCAATCTTTTCTCTGTTGTGTCACCTGTGTATCACAGATTGTTAATAAGCCTCTCTTCGATCCCAATGGCTCATTCTTCTTCATATCATTTAGCATCTCTGATTATTTATTCAGAGTTCAGAGTATGTTCTGAATTACTATGGTGAGAGGATATAACACTGATGCACACCTTTCCAAAAGTAACTGCCACCAGTTTCCTCCCCATCTCTACATCATATGGTAGATATGATGTAGTCTAATCTCCCTCCCCATGAATCCCTAGCAGATCTTGGTGACTTTGACCAAGAGAATACACTGGGGGTGGCATTCTGGAGTTTTCAAGACCAAGCCTTGCACCTTTTACTTGGGCCACTTGGAATCCTTGTTCTTGGGAAGCAAACCACCATGTAAGAAGTGGGACCATCCTGAGGCTACTATGCGGTGAAGGAGCCCAAGCTAGTTATGTGGAGATAGAGGGGTGCCCAGTTAGTTCCCAACTCTTAACCATGCAAGTGAAGAAGGCACAAGTCTTGTGAGTGAAGAAGCTATCTCTAATGTCTGTCCCACTTTAGCCTTCAGATGACTATTTTCAGCTGCAACCTAACTGGAAGGACATGAAAGAGACTCCAAATTAAACTTGGGACTGGGGGTGGGGGGTGGGGCGGAAGTGGTAGAGAGTGGGGGTACCAAAGGGGATAGAGCCTCCCACAAACGTGAGCACCTCTTTGCATTTTGTGTCTTAGACCCTTCATTCCATTCACCCTAGTCCCAGCCTTCCTCCAAGTCAGAGCAGCACAACTCAGCTGCTCAACTCAAAGAGCCCTGGGAAATCACTGTAAACCGCTGAGTTTTGTACTGGTTTGGTACACAGCAATAGATAATCAGAACATGTTCCGTCATGTTCCATCATATCTAATTGCTTAGGTCAAAAGCACAAATCTTTATCCTTCATGTCCCTTATCAAATCCATCAGTAGGTGCTATTGGATGCAGCCTGCAAAATAGATCCCAGATTTTATCACCTGCAATGTTCCACCTTAATTGTTTCTCTCCTTACTAAAGTGGATCATGTCCTATTTAAAAGTCTTCAGGGATTTGACATCATATTAGAGATAAGTCCTCACCTCAATCATTTGATGTAAGCGTCAGGGTGTGACAGGAGGGAGAGAATTAATGGCAGAGAGTTTTGGAGAATCTCTGCCTTAAAAAAGTCCCCCAAACAAAAAGCCCTCTGACCACTCACCCATGGCCACCAGACTAGTCCATAGAAAAGGGCATCCTGCTTAGTAAAGTGGTCGGACACAGCCAAAGAGGCAGAGCCTTAACAAGATGGATTGACCCAGTGGCTATAGCAGTGGACTCAAACATAGGAACAACTGGGAAGATGGAGCATGTTGTATGCATGCCGGGTCACAAGGAACAGGAAATGACTTCATAGCACCTAAGAATAACAGTCCTCCAAAGAGGGGCCCTGTTGGTTCAGAGGTCTAATTTCCACGCAGGGGACCCCGGTTTGAGTCTGGGCCAGGAGTCAGTTAGTGGAGGTTTGCAGGCTGCTAAATGACACTAAGCAGGTTTCAGCCGAGCTTCTTGACCAAGACTGTGAAGAAAAAAGGCCTATTGATCCACTTTGGAAAATCAGCTGTTGAAAACCCTATTGATCTCAGTGGTCCAACCTGCCAAGGATGATGGACACTTCCCAGGACTGGACGGTGTCTGGCTCCTTTATGCATGGGGTTGCTATGACTCAGGAGCTGACTTCTTGGCAGCTAATGGCAATGGTACTAGTTCTAGCCAATGAGTGGGGAATGAAAATGACAACACTCCTGAAGTGAGGCATTTAAAGGCTGGTGTTAATATGCTCCAGCACTGGTAGAGTGATGGGCTGCTAATTACAGGGTCAGAAGTTTCAACCCACCATCCTCTCCACGGGAGAAAGATGAGGAATTTTACTCTGTTAAAATTCACATTCTCACAAACCCACAGGGGCAGCTCTACTTTGTCCTATAGGATCATGGTGAATCAGAATCAATTCGCTGGTAGTGAGTTGAGTTGAGTTTGGATTCTCTTGCCCTGCTCCACTGAACCTCAAGTTGCTTTGGGGGTCCCCTAAGAGCAAAGCAATCTGTGGTTGAAATCCAGAACTCAAAGGACA